TTCCCATGTTATAAAACAAGGGGACTAAAGCTTGGGGAGGTTAAGTAACCTGACTCAGATCCCTCAGCTAGAAAGTAACTTCCACTGGAATACTCTTACCCAACACCCAAGGGTCTCTCTAAATATGGCATTAAACTATTTTAGATGGTTCCCGGATCAGCTTTTTAAAACACTTAAGAATATTGACTGGCAAAAAATAAATAAACCTCGACCTAAGCATGTAGCTTATCCAAAAATTAACTCAAAATGGATCACGGACTTGCATGTAAAACTATAACACTTTTCTTTTTTTTTTTTTTTTAAAGGAGAAAATTTGGGGGATCTAGGGCTAGGCAAGGAGTTCTTAAATTTGACATCAAAAGCACAATTCATAAAAGAAAATTTTGATAAATTGGCCCTCATCAAAATTAAAAATGGTTGCTCTGTGAAAGCTCAGGTGAAGAGGATAAAAAGACAAGCTAAGGGGCTCCCCTGGTGGCGCAGTGGTTGAGAATCCGCCTGCCGATGCTGGGGACACGGGTTCGTGCCCCGGTCTGGGAAGATCCCACATGCTGCGGAGCGGCTGCGCCCTTGAGCCATGGCCACAGAGCCTGCAGGCTCCGCAACGGGAGAGGCCACAACACTGAGAAACCCAAAAACCACAAAAAAAAAAAAAAAAAAAAAAAAAAAAAGACAAGCTAAAAGCCAGGGGAAAACATTTACAAACTACATACCCAAAAAAGGACTAGTATCTAGAATGTGTAAAGAGCTCTCAAAGCTCAACAATATAAAGTGAATAATCCAATTAGAAAATGGGCAAGGACAGGGACTTCCCTGGTGGCACAGTGGTTAAGAATCTGCCTGCCGTATATACAATGGAATGTTACTTAGCCATAAAAAGAAATGAAATTGAGTTATTTGTAGTGAGGTGGAGGGACCTAGAGTCTGTCATACAGAGTGAACTAAGTCAGAAAGAGAAAACAAATACCATATGCTAACACATATATATGGAATCTAAAAATTAAAAAATGGTACTGATGAACCTAGTTGCAGGGCAGGAATAAAGATGTAGACATAGACAATGGACTTAAGGACACAGGGTGGGAGGGGGAAGCTGGGGTGAAGTGAGAGTAGCATCGACATATATACACTACCGAATGTAAAATAGTTAGCTAGTGGGAAGCAGCTGCGTAGCACAGGGAGCTCAGCTTGGTGCTTTACGATGACCTACAGGGGTGGGATAGGGAGGATGGGAGGGAGGCTCAAGAGGGAGGGGATATAGGGATATATGTATACATATGGCTGATTCACTCTGGTATACAACAGAAACTAACACAGTATTGTGAAGCAATTATACTCCAATAAAGATCAATTAAAAAAAGAGAAAAAAAGAAATCCGCTTGCCAAGGCAGGGGACATGGGTTGAAGCCCTGATCCGGGAAGATCCCACATGCCACGGAGTAACTAAGCCTGTGTGTCACAACTACTGAGCCTGTGCTCTAGAGACCACGAGCCACAACTACTGAGCCCGAGTGCCACAACTACTGAAGCCCGCACGCCTAGAGCCCATGCCCCACAACAAGAGAAGCCACTGCAATGAGAAGCCTGTGCACCGCAACAAAGAGTAGCCCCTGCTCGCCACAACTAGAGAAAAGCCCACGTGCAGCAACGAAGATCCAATGCAGCCAAAAATTAATTAATTATTTATTTATTTTTAAATGGGCAAGGACATGAATAATTCACCAAAGAGGATATACAGATGGCAAACAGCACATGAAAAGATGTTTAACATCACAAGGCATTAAAGAAATGCAAATTAAGACCAGGATAGGGTATTACTACACACCTCTCAGAATGGCTAAAATTTTTTTAAAAATAATAATAATGACAGCACCAAATGCTGGCAAGGATGTAGAAAACTGGATCACTCATATATTGCTGGTGAGAATGTAAAATACAGCCTCTCTGACAGTTTCCAATAAAACCAAATATTCAATTACCATATGATCCATTAATTGTACCCTCAGGCATCTATCCCAGAAAAATATGAAAAATTATGTTCATGAAAAACTTGCAAATGAATATTCATAGCAGCTCTACTTGTAATAACCAAAAACTGGGACCAGTTCAAGTGTCATTCAACAGATAAATGGTTAAACAAACTCTGGTATATCCACACCATGGAATGCTACTCAGCATTAAAAAGGAATGAACTATTGATTTACACAACTTGGATGAATCTCCAGGAAATTACAATAAGCAAAAAAGCAAATCTCAGTGCCAAGACAATTCAATGGGAAAAGAACAGTCTTTTCAATAAATGGTGCTGGAACAAGTGGACATCTGCAAGCAAAAGAATGAGATTGGACTCCTACCTCATACCATATACAAAAATTCACTCAAAATGGATCAAGGACCTAAATGTAAGAGCCAAAACTATAAAACTCTTAGAAAAAAATAAGGGTAAATCTTCGTGACTTTGGATTAGGCAATGTTTTTTTAGATATGACATTGAAAGCACAAACAAAAGAAAAAACAGATAAATTGTACTTCATCAAAATTAAAAACCTTTGTGCTTCAAAGGACACCATCAAGAAAACTAAAAGACAACCCACAGAATGGAAGAAAACACTTGCAAATATATCTGATAAGGGTTTAGTATCCAGAACATATAAAGAACTTTTACAACTCAATAATAAAAAAACTGAACTTAAAAATGAGTAAAGGATCTGAATAGACATTTCTACAGAGAAGACATATAAATGGCCAATAAGCACATGAAAAAAGTTCAATATCATTAACCATCAGGGAAATGCAACACCACAATGAGACACTACTTCATACCCACTAGGATGGTTATAATCAGAAGACAGATAATAACAAGTGTTAGTGAGAATGTAGAGAAACTGGAACCCCCATACACTGCTGATGAGAATGTAAAGTGGAGTGATTGCTTTGGAAAACAGTCCAGCAGTTCCCTAAATGGTTAAACATAGTTACCATACTATATATATATATACACCCAGGAGAAATGAAAACATATGTCCATACCAAACCCTGTACTTTAATATTCATAAGAATACTGTTCATAATAACCAACAAGTATAAAAAACGCAAATGCCTACCAACCGATGAATGGATAAGTAAATTATGGTATGTCTACAAAACAAAATATTATTCAACAATAAAAAGTACTGGGACTTCCCTGGTGCCGGGATTTCCCTGGAGGCACAGTGGTTAAGAATACGCCTGCCAATGCAGGGGACGCAGGTTCGAGCCCTGGTCCAGGAAGATCCCACATGCCGCGGAGCAACTAAGCCTGTGCGTCACAACTATTGAGCCTGCGCTCTAGAGCCCACGAGCCACAACTACTGAAGCCCGCGTGGCCTAGAGCCCATGCTCCGCAACAAAAGAAGCCACCACAATGAGAAGCCTGTGCACCACAAGAAGAGTAGCCCTCGTTTGCCGCAACTAGAGAAAGCCCGTGTGCAGCAACAAAGACCCAACGCAGCCAAAAATAAAATAAATAAATTTATTTTAAAAAAATACTAATGCATGCCACAACATGGATAATCCTTGAAAAATTGTGCTAAGTGAAAGAAGTCAATCACTAAAGACTACATATTGTATGATTCCATTTATATGAAATGTCCACAAAGAGGCAAATCTATAGAGACAAAAAGTAAATTAGTGGCTGCCTTGAGCCGAAGGAATTAGGGGGAAATGAGGGGAGGGGTGGACTGCAAAAGAATACAAGGTTTCCTTTGGGGGAGATGAAAAACGTTCTAAAATTGATCGTGGTGATGGTTGCACAACTTTGTGAATATACTAAAAACCATTGAATTGTACACTCTAATGAATGAAATGTATGAGGTGTGAATTATATCTCATAAAGCTGCTACCAAATTAAAAAGCCGATTCCAAAGGTTACACACTGTATGATTTCTTTATCTATAGAACATTTCTAAAGTGACAAAATTTTAGAAATGAAGGACAAATTAGTGGTAACCAGGGGTTGGGGGTGGAGGAAGGGAAAGAAATGATATAAAAGAGCAACGAAGGATCCTTAAGCTGATTGAACTGTTCACTATCTTGACACAAAGCAACGAACACATGTGATAAACTGTATAGAACTAAATATACACAGATACACACAAATCAGGACAAATGAAACTGGGGAAGTCTGAATAAGATCTGTGGATTTTAACAATGTCAGTATCTTGAGTGTGATTTATACTACAGTTTTGCAAAATGCAGGAAACAGGGTAAAGTGTATAAGGAAATTTCTCTTATATTTTTTCTTACAACCGCATATGAATCTTTTATATCTCAATAAAAATTCAACAAAAACGCTGAAATCACAGAATAAGAAAATTGTTCTGTTGTCAATTTCTCTTCTGATTAAACAATAAAGTCTCCCCTGGTGCAGGTGTGCCATTGCTCGTAACAGCTGCATTACCCTTTGAAACAAGCAAAAGCAGATTTCAGGCTCAATTGCCCAGACAAGAGAATCCAGCTAGAATTTAATAACACTTTTATTTTATGGTGTTTAGTTGTCTATTTTATCTAGATGATATAATGTAGAATTAAGAACACAGATTCTGAAGACAGCCGGTCAAGGGTTCCAATTCCTTACTGCTCTGCTGCTTACTAGCTGTGTGACTTTGAGCCAGTCACTTAACATCTCTGTTAATAATAATCTGTACAGAGGTTACAGATTTTACACCTCATCTGTACAATGGGTATGACAAGAGTACCTAGATCATGGTGTTGTTCTGAGTTTTAAATCAATAAATGATACACACACAATATATGTATAAATGTCCATCACAAAGTGAAATGTTAGCTATCATTATTTTCTTTACCATAACTAGGATTGAGGGAAGGTCACGATGTTTTAGAAGGTTTTAGAAGCACAGATCAAGGCCATACTACCGCTCGGAATGTACCCTTCGCCCCTCGGTTGCACTGAGTCCATACCCGGGTATCTGGAGGAGGGAGTGGAGCCAGGAGGCACCCACCTGCGCACTTGGTGCGGCTGACGAGGGGCGGCCCGGGGCGGCCTGTACCGCCGTCACCGGGGCGCGTGAGCAGGACGCTGATCTCGTACTCCGTGTCGGGGTCGAGGTGCCACAGCTTGTAGGTCTGCAGGCTGACCGCGTGAACCTCCGCCCACGGGCCGCGCGCCATGCGGTACTCAATCTCCTTACGCACGATCGGCCCGTCGCCAATGATGGAGTTGGTGTTGAGCTGGATGATGAGGTAGGTGGGACCAGCGCGCAGTAGCTGCGGGGGCGCAATGGGGGTAGGGGGCTCTGCAAGGAGATGGGAGAGAGACGGAGCCCGCGGATGCCGCTATGAATCCCTGGCCCTCAGCTCCTCACCCCACCACACCCAAAAACCCAAGAACCCACCTGTCCCTCCAGGCTCCTCACGCAGCCCCCAAGCCCTAGACTAGACTGCCTCCCCCCACTAAATCCCCAGGGCCTAGGAAGCTCCCCACTCCAAAAGCTGACCCCGTCCTCACCCCTCAGCCTACACCCTCTCCCTCACTCCCTTCTGAATCCCCAAGTCCTCGCGTCCAAGGACTGATCGCTTGCCCGCTCCGGTCAACCCTAGGGCCCAATAGCCAGATCCCGCCTCGCCGGGCTCACACCTTGACCCAGCCCCCACGCGGGCCCACCTCTCAGTCACATCCCCTCACCTCCAGTCCGACCTGATCGCAGGTGAGATTGTGCCCCTCCGCAAGCCCCGCCCCGCGGTCAGACCACGCCCCTGGTCAAACCCTTCCTTCCCTACCCGTCCATGGGCCGCGCCCCCTGACAAGACTCCGCCCCCTGGTAGAATCTGCGCCCCCACCCTCCGCTCGCCCCGCCCCTCGGAGGCCCGCCCTCCGCAAGCGTCCCCGAGCTCACCTTTGACGATTAGCTCTGCGAAGTTGGAGACGCCCACGCCACGCTGGGCCTGGGACACGCAGCGGTACAGGTCCTGCTCCGCGCGGCGCACGGCGGCCAGCGGGAAGGTGGCCAGGAAGCGCCGGTGGCTGATGTGCCTCACGCCGGCCGCGGGCACCAGTGCCCCGCTCTGTCGCTGAGCGGGGAGAGGGGCCAATGGGTCATGGGCGCCGGGGAAGAAAGGTCCAGATCTCGCTGTGACCCGGGCAAGGGAGTAAATGTCCCGGCCCCATTTAGCCATCCCTACTACACAGGGGCATTTGGGGTTCCTGGAACCAGCTCTGCCACAGGAAGGTGTGGGTCTGATTAAGGGAATGTGGTCGCTCTGCCTTTGATGGAAGGTGTGGTTGGAGGATCCTGGAGCCGCTCTCTGTCCTCGGGGGATGGGGCACCCAAGAGGGCAGAGCAGAGCCTAGGGAGAGCCAGGACGCATGTGTATGGGTGCTGGAGAATAACGGAAGGACTCAGCATTCCGCAGAGGAGCCAGAACTTTTCATAAGAAGTTGGCCAAGGTCCCCCCACACTCCCACCCCACCCGCCTCACCTGCAGAAGGAAGCGCTCGGCCTCTGCTGCTCTGCCAGCAGCCATGCACTGGAACGAGGCGTTCTGGCCCGCATTGACCTCCACGTCGCCCAGGCGGGAGAAGTGTGGGGCCTTTGCTGCCGGAACAGAGCCTTGGTGTGAGCTGGGCTCGTGCCCCCTGTCAGCAGGAGCCGCAGCCACCCGTACCCCTCGCCCTGCACCCCAGTGGGCTGGGACTCACCGCAGGGGTAGCTGAGAAGCAGGATGTCATCTAGGCCCATGTAGCCCCTGCGGTCTGAGGAGATGAGGGCCTCAAACAGCACCTGGGGGAGGTGGGAGGGTCCCTGTCATGCTGACATCCCTCCAGCCCTGCCTGGGGAGATGCCCACAAGAGCCCCCTTTCAGCTGTGCTCCAGCCCCATCCTCCTCAACAAGCAGCCCAGCTCACAGTTACCCTCCATACCAAGCCAGCTTGTTGTGGAAAGGGGTGTCAGCACCCAGAGCTAACAAGGTCAAGGCCAGAGGTTCCATCCCAATCCTGGACTGTTACCTTCAAGCCACAAAACTTCCCAGCCAGACAGGGTTTCCAAGTCAGCACTATTCCAACTCACCTCGACCCCAGCCATAAACTACTCCTAATAACAATCTCTGACACTGAACCAGACTGAACCATCACTGAAGAACCCAATGCTGACCACAGACTGACTCCTGATGCTGACACAAACTAATTCCAACCTAGGCCACTTGCTTACTCTGATCTCATGCTGACACCCCTCTACCCACACCCCCAAGCACAGACTGACCGCAGACTGAACCCAGCCCACCTGATATTCATTGGGCCAGAAGGTGCTGACAGCCAGCTCAGCCTGGTGCCACTGGCGGCCGTGGGATCCAGTCATATTCCAGACGGCACTGCCCAGGGGACCCCCATTGACACGTACATAGATGCCCAAAGTGCCCGGGCTGTGCCCATCCCGACTGTACAGGAAGTAGCTGAACTGCACACAGTGGGTGTCATTCTCACTCAGACTCTGGAAGATGACATGGGCCCTCTGGCCTGGAGCATGCTGGGAAGCATTGACCATCAAGTAGGAGCCTGGAAAGAGAGGAGGAAGAGGCAGGAGCTGAGAACTCAGGGGAGGACCAGGGTCAGGTGGGCACAGAGGAGGAGGCAGAAACAAAGGACTCCAGGCATTTGGACCCATCAGAAGTCAGCGGCCTGAGTTCTGGTCCCAGCTCTGACTCACTGGGTAAGTCCCTTCATTTCCCTGCATCTGTTTCCCAAAGTAAAGACTTGGAGCAGCAAAAAAACACACAAATCTGGCTGTGCCAAAACCCCTTTCTGGCTCCTCACCTCGCCCTTTATGACCCCAGTCCAAGCTTGTGCTAATCCACAGCTTTCCCCACATTCCGAGCTGTCCTGGGAGGCAAGGACTAGGACACTCATCTCAGGAGTCAAGAGTCCAGCACATGACAGGCCCTCAAAGCCCACCTCTTCTGAAGCCCTCCCTCTCCATCCCTCTATGGGTGTCTCTCCTGGCCCCTGGATCATTAATAAAGTATGTATCGCTCTCCCCACCAGCCTGTGATGCCTCAGGGCTCCACTGCGTCCCCAGCACAGGTCTGCAAGCTGAATGAACTTACAGAACAGAGATGGAATGAAAGGGCTCTAACTTCCCTTCCAGCCCTCAGCCCCTCAATCTAAACTCCTGGGATACAACTCTCTTGATTTCAAACCTGGAGAAAGGCAGCCCTGCCCCTGCCCCAGAGATCCAAGCTGTATGCTGGGAGTGGGGGAGAGGGGTGGTGGGGGAAAGGGGCCTGGACTCCTCAGGACCTGGCTGGGGGATTATGGCTTCCCTTCTGTGGGGAGAAGGTCCCAGCAGCTGCTAACGGGGTGCCTGCAGCCACCCAGGGCCACCTCCTCCCAGGCCTCGCTGCCAGCCCACACAAGCCCATTCAGATCCCAAACCACAAGGCTCCCTGCTCCAGGCGGGCTCTCCAGGGGCTCCACTGGAGGGAACGGCATTCATCTCTGGGAGCCAGAAGCCTGTGAAGAAGGCGGCTCCTGCATCAGTCCTGGTGGGGTAGTAAACAAAACTCCAGGTCCCCATTCCCACCCAGGAAGGGGGGCATCCCAGCCCCCGCACAGTCTCTCTCGGCCCACTCCTCCATCCTCTCTCCTCTCCCTGTGAGCAGCTGTGGGCGTGTCTCTCTCCCCCTTTCAAACTGACACTTTGTTCTTGCCTCTTCCTCTTCCCTAGTCTTTTCTCACTCTGCATCCCTCCTCTTCTCTTCCATTTACTCCCTTCATCCCTGTCACCCCCCCTTCTCCTCTCTCCTGCTCTCTGAGTGTGAATCTCCCTCCTTCCTCCTCTCTCCACCTCCAAGTCTCTTCCCCAGAATGTGAGCACCAACACAGCAGAGAAACTGTCCATCTGGCTCACCACTGCATCCCCAGGACCCAGCCCAAGGCCCACACTACATACAACATTTCTCTCCCCCTTTTGTCACTGGGTATGTCTCTGCTTGTGTGGAGGAGAGAGAGAAGCAGAGCCCACACAGGGTGGTCAGGACTGTAAGAGGTGAATTCAAATCAGCAACCTGTACCCGAATGCTAACCTGTACCAGGCCAAGGCTGGGCCCTGGGGATATGGAATCGGCCCGCTCAGCATCCCTGCCACGGTGGGCACCTTGACAGATCACTGTCACACAGGTCAGACTTTGATACCTGCCAGGACAGTGGTCAAGCAAGGAGCTGAGAGCCCTGTGAAGGCAGAGAGGAATGCCCCAGGAAGGGCACAGTGTGAGCAAATGCACAGAAGAGGGGAGGCAGGGAGGCCTCCGGGAGTCGAGGCGAGGGGCAGGAGCCCAGGCTGCGGAGGCTGCCTGTGCCAGGTCGTGGAGGGCCTCTCTCCTGCTGGCTTCAAGTCCTGCTCCCACACTGAGAACCTTTGCTGCCCCTCCCACGAACTCTTGACAGCAGATGCGATCTTGGCCATGCTGTGAGCTGAGCAGCAAAGGCCCTGGCCCACTACTATGACAGGGCAAAGGGGAGGGGCCATAGCCTGTCCCATTCTGGGTTCCCTCAGCAAGCCCTTTTGGTCCTCGCACTATGCTGTGTCCTCCGACTCAGCCCTCATCAGTAATAAAGGTGATAACTTGGTCTCCACCTGTCTTATCCTTTTCTTAATCCCCAGCTGCTTCTGTACCCAGTGAAGAGGGGTGCTAGTAGTTGGACCCCCTCAAATATCTCCAACAATAGCATCTAAGCATTCATTGAACCCTTACATGCCACCCCCATGTTACGTACTTTATAGGCATTATCTAATAATCCTACGAAATGGATTATTGTGCTCTCCATTTTATAGTTAAGGAAATGGAAGCTCAGAGAAGTTAGGTGACTTGCCCAAAGTCACACAGATGGTAAAGTGATGAAGCAAAGATCTGAAGCCCAGCCTTCATGACTCTGGAACCAGTGCACTAAAGGCCATCATCAGGGTAGAAGGCCAGGACTAGAATCTACATAATTAGTCTCCTCTCAGTCCAGTGTTCACGCCGCCAAATATTCCCCATCCTGAAACAGGGGCAGGGCAGGGCAGAAGTCGGGAAAGATCCAGGAAGAAAGGGGCAGAGGCAGAAAGGTTTTACACACATCCAGCCCCCAAGGTTACTGCTCTGTCAGCATCTTCAAGCCTGGGAGACCAGGATTCAGATGCTCACAGGGAGAAGAGAGCCTCCCTGAAGGTGGAGGATTTAGGAAGACCTGGCAGGAGTAAGGTGGATCCTGAACTAAGCTGCCATAGGAGTAATGGGAGGTGGGCTTTATCTTACAGTTTGTAAGGGTCTTTGATTACTTGAACCTGCACCCATTTTACAGGTAAAACTACCTGAGGTACACAATTGGTCAGGGTCCAGAGAGCTCCATATTCACAGTGTCATCTGTGTCATTACAGATGCCAAAGCAGATGGAGGCCCAGAAAGATTAGGCAGTGCACCCAAGGTAACACAGCAGGTGGGTAGCATGCCCCTGAAGGAGATGAAGGGGGAATGGTGACTGAGAGTAGGCTCACCATGAGGCAGGTCCGCAGGAGCCCGGGTGCCAGGGTGGATCCTCACTTGCTCCCACTGGAAGTCGTCATACTGGGCCTGGCTGTACTCACAGGGCACTGCTGGGTCACTCACCTCCTCGAAGGTGCAGCCGGCTGTGAGGGAAGGGCCTGCTTAGCCCAGGCTAGAGCTGGGCTGCTGGCCAGAAGGGCTCCTGGGGCTACCCTCTAGGTGCCCCACACTGTCCCTTCCTACCCAGGCCCACCCTCATCCCCTCCGTCTCCTCAAGCCCTCCCCCCACTGCTCCCTCCCTCTAACCAAACACTCCCTCCCCCACCCTCTCCTTCTTTTCATTGTCTCCTCCCAATGCCAAGACCTCCCCACATTGCCCACCCCCCCAGTACTCCCCAGGACCGCCCACTGCTCAACCACCAATCAAAGACCCTCCTCAACAAAAGCCAGTTATCATTACTACCCATTAAAGCCTCTCAACAACTCATGAAATCAAAGCTAGAATTATCCCCACTTTACAGATGAGGAAACTGAGGCCCAAAGAGGCTGTGACCTCCTTAAGGTCACACAGCAGGTTAATGACAGAGGTGGGGTTTGGACCAAGATCTGCTGACTGCTGGTCAGTGTTCCATCACCTGCCCCTCCATCTTTGCAGAGAGGACAGACAGTGGGCCCCAGGACTGGCAGGGTCATGAATGCCCTAAGTCAGCCCTGATGGTATCTCCTTAAAAATAAGAACAATGTCCACTGATGACATCAAGCTTCCGACAAGCCCTGCACAGTGCTAAATGCTTTAAGCGTGGATTCCCATTTAGGCCTCGCCTTCTAAGGAGGTACCACTACTGTATTTATTCCTACTTGACAGATAGGCTTAAGCGATGCACATTACCCAAAGTCACCTAACTGAGGTCTCTGCCTGCAGGAATGTGGCAGGCAAAACAGTCATGTGTGGACTGAGGACACATATGCCTAGAGGAAGCAAATTCCCATGATTTGGAACCAATATACATAGTTTAAATATGGCGGGGATTGAAATGGATGTGAGCCCTTTGGTTGGTAATGAGGTTCATATATCTTAGCCGGCTCATCAACGCCCTGAGTTGGACATAATACACTTGAGAACACCACTGGTTCAGAAAGTAACTGCAAACAGGTCCCTGCACTCACTCCTGAACCTTAGTGTTTGGAGCCCCATCAGGGGTAAATGAAGGCATCTGAGACCCGGGCAAATGCATGGACAAGTGGCGAGGAAACAGGCACAAATCGTGCCAGGCCCTGTCCTGGGTGCCTATCAGCCACTAGTACTTCTCCCCACTTGACAGATGAGGTGACTGAGGCTCTGAGGGGTGAAGGAATTCACCCACAGTATGCGGTGGTAGATAAGCAAGTGGGCTTTGGCATCAGACAGACTCGGGATTGAACCTTGACTCTGCAATTTGCCAGCCCTGTGGTGGTGATCCTTTCTCATCTTCAGCTTCCCCACCCACAAGTGGAGTTGTTGAGGTTTCAGTGTGGGGGTCCACTTAGCACAATGCCTAGCACATGCAAGCACTCAGGAGAGAGCAGCTCTGCACCTGTTCCACCTGAGCCACCTGAGTAACAGAAGCAGGATTTGAATCCATGGCGGTCAGAGGCCAAAGTCCACATTTCTCACCAGAAAAGCCTTCACTATGAGAAGGAGCAAGTTTTAGCTGCTTCCCAGCCTCAAGAAGAGGAGGGGCAAGAAACAGAGAGTAACTGGGGAGTGAGTGCCACGTGCCAGGCACAACGGTGGGCATCTGCACGCACTGCTGGTGGCCTCACTTTCAGGAGGCTCTGCTGTTTCATCTGCAGCAGGGACTTCTCCAGGTTTTCGCGGATCATGTGAAGCAGCATCTCGAAATGCACAGCCAGGCACAAGGGGCTTGCCACTGTTGGGAGCGGGGGAGTCTCCCTTTCCTCTTTATGGACCCCATCAGAGTGTAAAACAGTAAAAGGTGGGCAAAAGGCTGGCACCAGGTGGATGGGATGAAATAACAGCAGCTCTCTCCAGAGCTGGGGCAGGACGTTGGCTGAGCTCTTTGCCTCATTGTGTGAAGACCCCTGGTCAGCATGTGCCCTATGACCTGTGGAGGTGGGTTTTAACCCCATCTGTGCTGGGGAGGCCTCGGCTCTCCCCTTAGAAAATGATCCATAGCACAGCACGAAGAGAGAACATAGCTAGTAGGGATGATCAGGGAGGGCTTCCTGGAGGAGGGGACAGCTGACTTCATTCAGCCTGAGCTGAGTCTGTGCCTGAGGGTCTTAGCCAAGGCCTCCCTGAGCCTCCAAATTACCAGAAAGGGAACCCCAGGATCTAGAGTCTCGCTGGGGCTCAGGTCCTTCCTGGTCCTTCTCAAGTAACAAGGCAGCTGCCCCAGATGTCTCACCCATGGCCCTGCGGCGAGCCTGGGAATGCCAGCTCCTTGGCTTCCTCCCGTCCAATCTGAGCCAGGCCAAGTGAGCTTCCAGGACTCCCAGCCTGACTGACCTGGTCAGAGGGACCCCCAGACCGTCTGACCTTGGCCAGAGTAACCCTGAGACTGCCTGATGCAGGTCAGTTGACCCCCAGACAGATAGACCTGAGCCAGAGTGGCCCCATCATCATTCAGATGACCACCAGACCATCTGACTTTGACCAGAATGACCACCAGACTGACTGACTGAGCCCAGACCAGCTGACCATGTCCAGAGTGACCCCTGACTTCCGTCAAAACAGAAGTCCTGCACCTGTCCCAAGCCAGGGTCATCTCCCCGGCTGACCAGTCCCATCCAGAGTACCCCCTTCTGGAGGTAGAATGATTCCCTCTCCCTGATCTATGCCCATCCCCAGCCCTGTGTTTCTGGGCCAGGCCCATTCCAGCCACAGCCTTCAGGGGGTAACATCTCTGGGGCCAGGTTCTCCAAGGTGAGCCCCACCCTCACCTGCTCCCCAGCTCACCCTGGGATGGGAACAATCAGCCCTCCTGGATCCTGGGAAAAGCCCCATCACCTCCAGGCTCGATGGCTCAGGAGCTAGGAGTCCCACCGCCAAGTCCCCACTTCTACTAGAGACTCAACTCCTGCTAGGGGCCGCCAGCCCAGGGGAGAAAAAAATAGACCAGACTTTGTGTTGAGAGCAAGAACGGTCAGAGAATACCTCTCGACTCCATCAACACAGACGTGGGCACAGACATGCACACACACATCAACGCCATCACAAGAGGGCTGCCACTTACCACCATGACCCCCTGTGCCACTGATTCCTCATAATAACTCACAAGCTCAGTACTATTATTATTCCCATTTTACAGATGGACACCGAGGCACAGAGAGATGAGGTGGCTTGCTCAAGGCCACATCTTAAGTCCCAGAAGCTGGGATTTATACCACCTATCTTTTTTTTTTTCATCTTTATTGGAGTATAATTGCTGTACAATGGTGTGTTAGTTTCTGCTTTATAACAAAGCGAATCAGTTATACATATACATATGTTCCCATATCTCTTCCCTTGCGTCTCCCTCCCTCCCACCCTCCCTATCCCACCCCTCTAGGTGGTCACAAAGCACCGAGCTGATCTACCTGTGCTATGCGGCTGCTTCCCACTAGCTATCTATTTTACGTTTAGTAGTGTATATATGTCCATGCCACTCTCTCACTTTGTCACAGTTTACCCTTCCCCCTCCCCATATCCTCAAGTCTATTCTCTAGTAGGTCTGTGTCTTTATTCCCGTCTTACCCCTAGGTTCTTCATGACATTTTTTTTTCTTAGATTCCATATATATGTGTTAGCATACGGTATTTGTCTTTCTCTTTCTGACTTACTTCACTCTGTATGACAGACTCTAGGTCCATTCACCTCACTACAAATAACTCAGTTTCGTTTCTTTTTATGGCTGAGTAATATTCCATTGTATATATGTGCCACATCTTCTTTATCCATTCATCTGTCGATGGACACTTAGGTTGCTTCCATGTCCTGGCTATTGTAAAAAGAGCTGCAATGAACATTTTGGTACATGACTCTTTTTGAACTATGGTTTTCTCAGGGTATATGCCCAGTAGTGGGATTGCTGGGTCGTTTGGTAGTTCTATTTTTAGTTTTTTAAGGAACCTCCATACTGTTCTCCATAGTGGCTGAACCAATTCACATTCCCACCAGTAGTGCAATAGTGTTCCCTTTTCTCCACACCCTCTCCAGCATTTATTGTTTGTGGATTTTTTGATGATGGCCATTCTGACTGGTGTGAGATGATATCTCATTGTAGTTTTGATCTGCATTTCTCTAATGATTAATGATGTTGAGCATTCTTTAATGTGTTTGTTGGCAATCTGTATATCTTCTTTGGAGAACTGTCTATTTAGGTCTTCTGCCCATTTTTGGATTGGGTTGTTTGTTTTTTTGTTATTGAGCTGCATGAGCTGCTTGTAAATTTTGGAGATTAATCCTTTGTCAGTTGCTTCATTTGCAAATATTTTCTCCCATTCTGAGGGTTGTCTTTTCGTCTTGTTTATGGTTTCCTTCTCTGTGCAAAAGCTTTTAAGTTTCATTAGTTCCCATTTGTTTATTTTTGTTTTTATTTCCATTTCTCTAGGAGGTGGGTCAAAAAGGATCTTGCTGTCATTTATGTCATAGAGTGTTCTGCCTATGTTTTCCTTTAACAGTTTGATAGTTTCTGGCCTTACATTTAGGTCTTTAATCCATTTTGAGCTTATTTCTGTGTATGGTGTTAGGGCGTGTTCTAATCACGTACTTTTACATGTACCTGTCCAGTTTTCCCAGCACCACTTATTGAATAGGCTGTCCTTTCTCCACTGTACATTCCTGCCTCCTTTATCAAAGATAAGGTGACCATATGTGCGTGGGTTTATCTCTGGGTTTTCTATCCTGTTCCATTGATCTATATTTCTGTTTTTGTGCCAGTACCATACTGTCTTGATTACTGTAGCTTTGTAGTATAGTCTGAAGTCAGGGAACCTGATTCCTCCAGCTCCGTTTTTCGTTCTCAAGATTGCTTTGGCTATTCGGGGTCTTTTGTGTTTCCATACAAATTGTGAAATTTTTTGTTCTAGTTCTGTGAAAAATGCCAGTGGTAGTTTGATAGGGATTGCATTGAATCTGTAGATTGCTTTGGGTAGTAGAGTC